AAATCTTTTTTCAATCAAAATATAAAACAAAATAAAACAACCACTAAAATACATAAAACGCAATGGGGCAGCGTCATAAAAACAGGTGAAACAAATGTGTTAATTTTTTACATTCCAAAAGTATCTCTTTTATTAAAAAATAAAAAGCTACCATGTTTACAGCATCATAATATTCAATAAATGGCTAAAAACCTTATATTTTATCTTTCTGTAAACAGTAAAAATGTTAAAATCAAAGTTTTCACATTAGTTTTCTCTCATAGCAATTTACTTTCATAATCTCTTTATAGTCGTTTGAATAAATTACCTAAAGATAAGGTTTCAGCTTTTATTTAACTGCTGCCCCAAAGTAATTAGTTAAAATCTTAAACTCGTAGATTTTAAATTACCGAATATTTGTAAACAAGATAAAACAACAAGCTTTGTGATTTTTTTTTTTAAAATGAACCAATCAAAACGCACACAAAATAAAACAACGTTTTTTGAAAACAAAAGGGCTTAAACGTTATACTTTTTTTCGGATCTCTCCTTAACTACGTTGAGTAAGCAATTTATACTGTCCTAATTTATAAGACTGAAATTGACTTAAAAAATATCTACTTCTAGTTGCAAAATTGGTCATAATACCACCCGCCATATTATTTTGATTAAAAGAAAAACAAAAACAATTAACAGCAAGCAGTTGAGAGACACATTAGAGCAGTGTAATATTAGGTTTTTAACAGTTGCGTTAACTTTTATCTTTTGTTTTGTTTCTTCTAGGCTAAATAAAAAGCCACTGCTGAATAATCAATATACCAAGTATCTCTATTAGACCAAAGACCCCCAATAACATGATTTAAGTGAATCTAGTTAAATAATTACTTTATTCCCCACATTGTCTTGATTAAATGCTCTTTGTTCATATATTCACATATGCAACCTAAGTTTTTAAAAGTTCAGTTCCCAACTTAAATTGGTTGCAACATTTTTTAACATATTATATATGTGTCATATATTATACTTTATAAAAAAAAGTTTCAAATCTTCTATGATAATCTTGAGGTATGAATTCGATTCAAAAATATAAGGATAATTGACATGCAGAAAATTTTTAGCATAAATAAACTTGCAAAGTCTCATTGATTTTGCATTTAATGCTTGGGTAAATGGCTTTGAAATCAAAAAACTATACTTCAAATTTTGAACTGGAACAATGAAATATGGTGAAGAGTTTGTTAAACCAAAATGTGCATCAATGAAATGTTTGATTCAAACAGCATTAAGAATTATTTCACATAAAATGATTGCTTTATGCTTAAACTATATAACACTAAGCTTCTAAGTGTTATATTCCAATGCTTATTTAAAGTATGTGGAAAAATGACTTCATTAAGCACAAACTTTGCTTACACAACAACAGCAGGAAGAAAACTCCTTTTATGTGAAAATAGAACAATTTTTTTTCCTTTTTGTCATTATGATCTGGTAAAAATAAAAATTGTATGAGGAATAGACAAACCCAGTTGGAAACCACTCAACAAGGTTCCGAAATGTTTAGATTTTTTAGATTTATGATTGCACCATGAATCACTCTCTCGAAGTAGCCGCCAAATGTAGTCCCCCATCATGTTTTTGATGAAAGTACTCACCTTGCTCCTCGGAATGAGTGCACATGTTCTCCTTGAATTTGCCGAGATTCAAATTAAGGATATGGACTTTCAGAGACATTCTCCATCCTATTTTGATGTGATTCTTTATGAGAGTCTGCACTAACTCCACATAGTTTTCAGTTTTGTAATTACCTAGAAAGCCGTGAATAACTGCAACAAAACTGCTCCAAGCAGCTCTCTCTGTCCTGTTCAACAGCTTTTTAAAGCCCTCACCTTCTATGATCTTGATCTGTGGTCCAACAAATATACCAGTCCTGACTTTAGTCTTGGAAAAAGATCTTGGAGGTATTGAAATGCTGCTGACTCCTTGTCAAGAGCAGTGACAATTTGCTTAAAGGCCTAACTTGATGTGCAGCGGTGGCATAAGCACTTTATAAGGTTCTATCAGCAGCTCCCACTTGGTCCGTTGTGGCCATTTTTTTGTGCATTAATGCGCCTTAGTGTCACAGCTGTCTTAGAGACAGAGGAAATAAGGAAACTTCGTGAAACCTCCTTGAAGACCTTTGAGGAATGATCCGTAGTTGTCATAGTTTAATGCACTCAGCAACATTTTGATACTGATGTAGTGCTCTTTGAGATGCACAGAGTAGGCTATTGGAAGAGACAAGTAGTTGTTTCCATTGCTTTAAGGCTCCGCGATGAACTGTCTATGAATAGACGCCATTCAATAGGATTACATGCGATACCTATAGCCTTGAATAGACTGGCAACATTGTTACACAAGCACCACCTATCAAGCTGACTGATGAAGTTGGAGAATCTTTAATGCTGCTTCTTCTGATCTGTGACTTGTACGCTATCATTAACCAAGTTCCACTGTTTGAGCCTGGGTATCAGAAGCTCAGCATTTGTTTTCATAAGCCCAAGGTCCCTAATTAAATTGTTCATGTCTTTCTGGTTAGGGAAGTACGGCTTTCTGTCCCCAACTTCATCTGCGCAATATTTTGGGTATACCCTGCAGTATTAGCAGTTGCTTAAGTGTTCTGTCAGCTCTCAGCAAATTTGAAAAACTTCATAACTCACTTCTCTCCTCTGTACCAATTTGCACATAATATTTTAAATAATACATAAGAATTATAATAATTTGAGGACAAGAAATTTAAAATATATAACAATTTCAAGATGGAACATATTTGCCTACAATATTTGCCTTATGACAAAACTTTGTAAATAACAACTCTTTGAAATGAAGTAGATCTAAAGCATTGAAATTTTATGAAAATAAATTAAAGCGAGAAGCAACTGTTCAGTTTACCTTCAAGTGTTTTCTTGCAATATTTGCCTTGCCTATTACATGACTTGCTTCCATGGAATACTTTTTTGCTCTTGCCTTTATGAATTGTCTACACGTGTAGCAGAATGAATCAGCTGCATGCAAACAACCTCTTGATGCCATATCAAATAAACAACTTCTCTTCAGCTACAAATCGTTATTCTTTCAGTCTGCAATAAGATAAGTTGGAATCTTGGTTAGAGACACCTGTGCCTTTATAGATTGTACAGCTACTTTTGAAATGTTCTAGAATGTTCTAGAAACTTCTGGAAGTTTCTTGAACATTCTAGAGTGTTTAGGAGAATTGTAGAAACATCTGGACAACTCAAGCATTTCAGGAATATTATAGGAAGAAGCTTGGCATTTAAAGTAAATCGAGAATTTCTCGAAAACACACAATTTTTCAAAAAAAAAAATTTGGGGAAAAATTATATTGTCCTGGTCGTAGAGGCAAAGTTTTTTCTGGAATAACAGCGATTTCCTTTCTGTTCTAGTTAGAAAAAATTTACTTTCAAGCCAGGAACTGAACAAAAGTGAAAATTTGTTACATAGTGTTATTGATGGTTGATTTTAATATTTTTCATACACTGTATTTTAATTCATTACAACTTTATATGTTATATAAAAATGCTTGTAGATTGCCTAATGCATGGTTTGTAAGTCATCACAAGTCAAGAATGATGGACAGAAACTGGCATGGCTGAAATATTCACTATCCATTTAACTCAACCTAACTTACATCACATATTATTTATTTAGAAAATAAAAACAATTGTTATTTTAACTTTTTTTTTGTTAAAACTATTTTGATGACAGCCCTTTATATGACCATGTCATGTCCTTACATGGTCATATAAAGGGAACATCTTACACCTGCTTCCTTTATATGACCATCTCATATAAAGGAAGCATTTTCTAGAATATTCCTGAACTATCATAATTATCTAGTAGGTTAGACAATTTTCCAAAATATTTATAAATTATTAAGAAAACTTAAGGACTCTGAAGAAACTTCAAAAAATTTCTAGAATGTTTTCCAACTTTTAAAAGTTAGTCATACAAGTACAAAAGCACAGGTGACATATGTCAACATTTCAGTTTGCTTTATTGGTGAATGTAGGAATAACAAAGAGTATTTAAAGAGCAATTGTTTGATTTAAATAATATTAAGACATTCGTTGCATTAAATAGATGTATTTTGCTATGTGTGTGGACAATTTATGAATATAAGATCGAAAAAGTATTCCTTGAAACCTAGCTGTAAAATGTGTGAAACATATTTTGGCAAATGAAACAACCGCTACTTCTGTACTGAAACAACAGCTGCTTCTGTAATATTAATCTCACAAAACCTTGCTCAGACATAAATGTGTTTTGTTTGTGTGATTGTTTATCCATTCTTTAGTCTATTTCCCCAGTAACACACATTCTCAAGCTGCCTGTTCCCACTCTACCTGAAAAAGATCAGCTATCTTCAAAAGAAAGCAACAAGTCTGACAGCAAAAAAGATATTGGGAGTAAAATCTATAGTTTTGCATATAGGATTGATGAGAGGTCATATTTCCCTTACGATGCTAACAGTTTAATCAGTGACTTAAATCTCAAATGTATGAAATTGTTCTTGTTCTTTCTCAATGAAAACACATCTAAAAATGGAATCAAATTTTCGCATTTTCTGATCTTTTTTTTTGTTGTTGTTTTTTCATTTTTTTCTTAATTTAAATCTCTAGTTAGTTTTTTTAGTTTTATGATATTTCGCAAATCATTATCAATGGATTATTGTTTAAGCACTAAATTTTGATCAAGCCAGATAACAAATTAGTGTTCAATTTCATTTTTAACAATACCCGATATTCATATACCATTTCACAGTTACATACACCTTATGAAATCTGGTATTCACACGCCATCGCATAGTTATGTGAACCTTATGAAACCTGGTATTCACAAGCTGTTGCACAGCTACGTACACCTTATGAGTGCTGTATTGGTTTTATTACTGCCGTGTTTAAAATTTTGTAACTATCATACATTTTATAACAACTTTACAAATATATTTTTTTTTTGTTTTCAAGGATGTTATCACAAAATGGCTTTCTACAGATGATATTAAACTTAATGCTATAGATGCAGAAGAACCAGAGGTAGTTAAACGCTAGTTCTAAAATATTGTTCATAAATGCTAAATAGTTTTCATGAATTTTTTTTTTTTTTTTATAGATTGAATTGCTTGAAAGTTTGCAATAGAAATAAAATATTTAAATTAAAAATTTTAACTTTAGATAAATGATTATAACTATGTACCTGATACTATTGCCTTAAGTGAACGTTTACGAGTTTGTTTACAAGAAGGAGAAGAGGTATTAAATTGTAATTATGATTTATTTATTGTAAAATGTATATTCAATTTTTTCAACAAAAATATTCAATTAATGAATATGTTATAAAATTTTAGGTTCCTAACGATTTTACTCATTGCTTTCAAGAACAACAATACAACCTAGATACTTCTATGCTGCCAGCTACTCTTAGGTGATTTTTGTTTCTATGTTTTTTATATTCCTAAAGTTATTTTTCTACTAATTGTGAATTTTTCATGAAGTTTTTGCTTTATTTCAGTATTCTTTTGTAGAGCGTTTAAAGAATTAAATGTTAAGCATGAAACATTAACTCTTATTTCACCTCAGTTTGAAACTCCTCTGCCGCCTCTCGAACCAGCGGTAAATAAAATGTCTTAAATAAATAAAATGGTAGAGTATTTATAAAGTTGTTTTCAGTTGTAACAACAATAATAATACATTAATTGATAATAATACCGTAAATACATAACCAGAATATTTTATAGATTTTATATATTTATGTAGGTTTTTCCTCCTCAATTTCGTGAACTTCCAGGACCTACATTAGACTTATTTGACTTAGATGAGGCTTTCTCGTCAGAGCATGCGCGATTGGCACAGCTCGCTCATAAATGTAATTTTTTGAATTACTTTTTGCAAATCTGTAAATTTTAAAGGTCCTTTTAGTAATCAAAATATTTATTCATATTGCGGTTTATAGGCTCAGATGAAGATTTAGAGTATTTTGTGAGAGAATGTGGTGACATACTTGGTGTAACAAATAAACTTTCAGCAGAATCACGTGATGCAAAACATATACTAGAATACATATTTGCTCAAGTTGTAGAATTTAAAAAGTTAAACCAGGTAAAAAGATCTTTATTATTCTTTTATATATATATATATATATATATATATAATTTCGTATAATTTTTATAATTTGGAATTTTTTTAAAATAAAATAGGACACAGAGATGGATGAGACCCAAGACACTGGTGATGTGCAGTATTGATTTCAATTTCCATCAGACCAAGTTATAACTATACTCCCTTCTACATTATTGCTTAAAAAAACTAAGAAAAAAAAATTGTGAATTGACACACACACGCAAATCATATATTGTAAAAACGAAATTTAATTTATTGTGCTAAAAAAAATTTTTTATAAAAAATATTGGACTTTTTTAATTAAGGGGTCGTCCATAAATTACTCAACGCTAAATTTTACGTATAAACAAAACAAAAAAAATCAAAAGTTTTCCCTTGCAGAGCCTTATATTTATAGAAAAATCAAAATAGCAAATTAAGTTTAGTGTAACACATTCGCCTAACTGGCTTCCATAGATAGGCGTCGGCAGCATTCTTAGTGGCATGTGCACAAAAAAAAAATAAACAGTTTAATTAACGTAAAGAAAAAAATTAATATCAACAAGAAAGTGGTGATACTGATATTATACGTAAAGCATAAAAAAACATTCCAGGGGAATGAGTAGGGGATTGGGGTGGCATATTTATTCAAATATTTTTTAAAGTCAGTTTGCACTATCACAACTATGATGTATCTATGTAAAAAGTGTTCCGTTAATTCGATAAATAATAGATATTAACGATTATCCAAATTTTCTAGAAAAATTAATTACTTAAAGCGTTAGTATATTGATATCAATGAAATAATATATAACCATTATTAGGCCATAAAGGGTGCATAAAATGTGAAAAACTTGAAAGTTTCAAGTGCTGATTTTACAATCATGTAAGTTTATTTTTATCATTAAAGATGCTTTTCTCTCTCTCAATAGAACAAGTAGCTGAAAAGTTTTTTCTTCAACTTTTTTAAATGTTTATAATACATACAATGTACCCCCAAAAGAACTGGTATTAAAATTAAATAAATTTTTTTGTTACAGAATTTTGCACTAAAATTAATAAACTAATACAAATTAAAAGCGCTACCAATTTACTGTTTTATAGGCAGTATATTTTAGTAACCATAGTAATTCCAGAAGAAGGGTCACTAACTCGCACCTATTCGATTGTTGCAACTCTGTCAGAGTATAGGTTTGTAGCTTAACCATTCAAAGAAACTTTAATTATTTTTTTTTTGCGTTTGCGTTTGCGGCACAAACGAGAAAGACGTGTTTTTTTTTTGAGAATAACAATTTTACAATAAAAATGGAAATAAATGTTAAAAATATAGAAAAAATTATCACAAGCAAACTAGAAGAACAAAAAAGAAGTATACTAGCAGAAACGGAGAGACTACTCAAAGATCATGAAAAAAACTTCACTTCAATAATAAGTTCGAACTTCAAAATAATAACAGCAAGATTAGACAAAATGGACGCAGAAATAAACAATAACAAGTTAAATATCCGAAAAATCGAAAATGAAGTTAACGAAATAAAAGTCAGCTTAAATTTTCAAGAAGAAAAATCTAGGGATGAATTTACTCTCATTAAAACAAAATATGAAAATGAAATTATGATGCTAAAAAAGAAATCTATTGACTTAGAGAATCGTTCCAGACGAAACAACTTACGTATCGATGGTGTAAAAGAAACCCCTGAAGAAAACTGGAGTGATTGTGAGAAGGTTGTAAAAGACATTTTTAAAACAAAACTAAATATATTAGGTGAAGTAGTTGTGGAACGAGCGCACAGAGTCGGAACTGTTAAAGATAGAAAAACACCAAGATTTAATTAAAGCTATTAAATTATCAGGATAAAAATAAAATATTAAGCTCAGTTAATAAACTTAAAGGATCAGGCATATATATCAACGAAGATTATGCAAAAGAAACGATGCTAGAAAGGAAGAAGCTATGGGAAGAAGTTAAACAGTTACGCAACGAAGGTAAATTTGCAGTTATTAAGTTTGATAAAATTTATTGTCGAGATTTTAGAAAGTAAACACGCGAAGTTTTATTAAGCGAAACGCTATCTTAATTATTTTAAATAATGACGAACTTAACAATAGATTTTGAAAAACTACACTTTAATATTTTCAAATCGGCAAATGTGTTACTTAATGACTTTTCTGACGCTGATTTGCATTTTTTTAACGAAAAGAATTTTAGCTCATCTTTTTCTGAAATGAAAACTTTTAAAAACGAACAAAAACCTTAAAGAGTAATTTTACGGTAATACACATTAACATTAGAAGTATTAATAACAACATGGATAAGCTAAAATATTTTCTTATTGAATGCGATTATCTATTCAGTATGATATGCATAACAGAAACGTGGTGTTCTGACGAATCATGCAGAATAAACTCAAGTTTAGAAATTCCTAAGTACAAGTTATTATCGTTTGAAAGAAAAACTAACAAAAGGGGAGGTGGAATTATAACTTATATTAGGAATGATCAAATTACTAAAATAAGAGAAGACCTTTCGACCTCAGATGCCGATAGTGAGGTCTTTACAATTGAAATAACTAGCAATAAATCAAAAAACATAATAGTCTCCACATGTTACCGACCGCCTGAAGGTGATTTATTAAAATTTTCCAATCATTTAATACAAATTTTTATAAAAAACAACAATGAGCAAAAAAAAATGATCTGTATTGGTGATATAAACATAGATTGTTTACAATATGAAAAAAATGCCAATATTAAACTTTTTTTTGACGAAATGCTTCAATATTACATCTTCCCAATTATTAATAAACCAACCCGAGTAACTCCAACTTCAATCTCTGCAATAAACAATATATTAACTAATTCAATCTTTGATACTTCTCTTAAGGCAGGAATAATAAAGACAGACATTTCTGATCATTTTCCTGTTTTCTTCTCTTTGACACAAGATATAAAATCTATAAATAATTGTAAAATAAAAATTTTTAAAAGGAAAATCAACAAATTTGCTATTCAACAATTTAAAGACTCACTATCGGCAGAACAATGGGACAAGGTATACCAAGAATGCAACCTTGGGAACACAAACTCTGCTTATAATTACTTTGAAAAAATTTTCCTAAAAAACTATAATATGCATTTCCCAATTAAAGAAAAATTAATAAAAGAAAAATATTTAAAATGTCCTTGGATCACCAAAGGTATTAAAAAATCCTCCAAAAAAAAACAAAAACTTTATATCAAATACTTAAAAAATAGAAGTGAGGCAAACCTAAATGTTTACAAACAGTATAAAAACTTGTTTGAAAAAATTAAAAAAAATTCGAAGAAAAACTTTTACTCAAATAAAATAAAAAACTCAAATGGTAATATTAAAAAAACTTGGGATATCATAAAAGAAATAATTGGGACTAAACACTGCAAATCAAATTGTTTACCTGTACAAATTGTCATAGATAATAATGAGTATAACGATTATAATGTAATTTCAGAAAAATTTAACAGTTTTTTTGTCAACATAGGCCCAAATCTAGCTTCAAAAATCCACTGTCCAAACAACTCATTTGAAACTTACTTAACTAGTGTCAACAGCGAACTAATATTTAAAGAGCTAAAAATTGATGAATTCGAAAATGCAATAAACTCTATTAAAATAAACAAGTCTCCAGGTGTAGATGACATTAGCAGTAATATTGTTGCTAATGTCTCTTCGCAGATACGCAAACCTATTTTTGAAATATTCAAATCATCAATTAAAACTGGAACTGTACTAGATAAATTAAAAGTAGCTAAAATTATACCTATTTTTAAAACCGGTGAAACATTTCAAATAAATAATTACAGACCAATTTCTATTCTTCCAATTTTTTCTAAAATACTTGAACGAATAATCTACAATAGACTATATGAATATCTAATTCAAAACAAACTCTTAGATAAAAAAACAATTCGGTTTTCAATCACAACACTCGACAGAACATGCAATTTTAGATATAGTTAATAGCATAAGTGATTCTTTTAATAAAAAGCAATTTGTATTAGGAACTTTTATAGACCTATCCAAAGCATTTGACACAATTAATCATGATATCCTACTTAAAAAAATGGAAAAATACGGAATAAAAAATACTACCCTAGATTGGTTTAAAAGTTATTTATGCAACAGACAACAATGCGTTATTTCGAACGATAATAAAGATTCAAATTTACTAGAAACTAAATGCGGAGTTCCCCAAGGTTCCATTCTTGGCCCTCTTTTATTTTTAATTTATATTAACGATCTTCCACAATCCCTAAAAAAACTTGATGCTGTAATGTTTGCTGATGACACAAATTTGTTTTATTCATCAGCATCAATTGAAAATCTCTTTGAATCTGTGAACGATGACCTTGAGAATCTAAACACCTGGTTTAAAGTAAATAAATTATCTTTAAATACAGAAAAAACAAAATACATCTTGTTTCATTCCAACCATCAAAAAAATAATATACCAAGAATGCTACCATTACTAAAATTGATAACATAAATATCGAAAGAACTAAAACCGTTAAATTTCTTGGGATAATTATTGACGAAACGATTTCTTGGAAAGCCCATATAAATACAATAAATACAAAAATATCAAAAAGTATCGGCATACTCTACAAAGTCAAACCTTTACTTTCCCAGAAAAATCTTAAAAGTCTCTACTTTTCTTATATACAAAGTTATTTAACATATGCTAATATTGCCTGGGGAAGTACAACTAAATTCTCTATATGTACTCCAGAAACACGCATCAAGATTGATTTATAATAAAAATAAATTCACTCATGCTGATCCTTTACTTAAAAACTTGAATGCGTTAAATGTCTATCAAATTAACATCTACCAAAATATTTTATTTATGCTCAAATATATGCTCGGGCTTGTCCCATCTCATTTTACTAATAACTTTTTTCAAACCTACGCCAACAGATATAGCACAAGAGGAACAGGAAATTTCACCCTGCCTATTAAAAAAACAAAATTTTCAAGATTTTCAATTGCATACCGTGGCCCCTACTTATACAACAAAATAATATCTCAAAATATAGAACTTACTAAATTAGATAATCTTACTATCCTTAAAAAAAAATTAAAAGATCTCATAATTAACAAAACCAATTTTATCGATATGTATTAAATGTAAAAGAAAATGAATATAATAAATGTAACAAGAACAATTTAAACTT